ATAATAATAATAATAATAATAATAATACATTTTATTTACAACGCACTTTACATTTTCTGAGAAAATCTCTAAGTGCTAAACCAAATAAATCATTAAGTACAACGATAAATCAAAATATAAGGCACTTCTAGACTGTATTTCAATATGCAAACCGGAATTTAAATGGAAAGATTTTACACATGAAAATATCACCTTATCAGTCTATGTGACATTCTTTACAGCAAGTACTTGATACATCTGTAATAGTAGTAATATGTATTAACAACTAAAGACAGGAGGCCGAATGAAAATGCCATGTCTGTATTTAAGATCTTAATGACAATGTCCATATCGTTTACACCATGATCAGATTACACTTATTAAAACACAGTGGGGGGGCCTCAACTCCAAAAAAAATAATCCAGCTTCTAAGCAACACTCACGCTTGCATAACACCTTCAGCGATTCATCTGTTAAATTTTATCAATGGAGCAGCTGCCAATTTTTTAAATGTTGTCTGACAATGAGGCTGACAAACGTTATCGAGGGTCAAATTAAGTCTGACTTCAGGGGCATCAAAACTGGTTATAATATAGAGAAGGTTCATGGAAGATATTTTTCTCCACAGTGTAGAAGCCTTGCCTTCAGACCCTGCGCTAGAGCCCGCATGGTCGCAGATTATCTCCTGAAAGCGAACAAAACCAGCGTGGGGCCTTGTACTTGGGGCTTATCGCAGACGTAGCAGGCCAGACCATACTGTGCCATTGACAATCATTTAGGCCTCAGATATCTCACATTTCTCCCTTCCAGAAAAAAGACCCTGTCTGTGAACAACTGTCAAAACACAAGGTAAAACATGGTACATACGCTGATAAGGTCACCCCCCCCCCCCAAGAAGGATTCATCTCCGAGTGCCACTCTTTTTGTGAGCTCTCACTTCCCAGCCTAAAGGCCTCTGGGAAAGTGGAAGTCATTTTTCAGGGGGATTCCGCCTCACATAGCGACGAGAAAAACAATGAGACTCAGCAGTAGCGGCCTGGTCCAATCCAAAGAGACGGACGTGAGCTGATCTGCATGCAACAGGTAGAGCAAGTGCTGATTGAGTCTTTCCAGTATCACATGATTCACTGGGGTAAGGCTTCTCTGGCAGGGTGTTAATGCAGGCCTGGTCAGAGTTACGGCCGGGGGGGGGGGTCATTTGAAACTCTAACCCTGTGACATCTTTATACTCTGCCAGGGGTCTTTAAAATAGACCATCGCTAATCCGCCAGAAATTAAACTTGCAAAAAAAAAAAAAACAAAAAAAAAAACCACAACGACACTAAAAACCAACAACCTCCATGACAAAGGCCTTCCATTAAGAAGACCAGTATGGACTTACGGGGACCTTTAATGGTGCTATATAATAAGCTTAATCTTCAACGCAAGCTATAACAAGAATCTGCTTATACCAATTTTCAGCGCAAATGACGGTACAGTTCATATTCGCACTCCAGAAGGGCTGTCTTTTGAAAAAGAGGAGAAAAAATCCTAAGGGACACGTCAAAGAGGCGAAACGACACGAACGCTGCCTTAGAAATAATCACAGTATCGTTGCCGGTTGCTTAGTGTTGCTCCATCTTAGCACGCAAACACATAAAAGAGCCGTCGTCTCCTAAAAGGGAGCCGGAAACCGCTTCCATTCCAGGGAGATTTCTGCACAATTAGCCCGACTCCATATGCTCCTAGACGCAGTAATGAAACGGTGACCGTGCGTCAAACAGGAACCGGCCGGCTTTCCGCTGTGGCTCAGCAGACATCGCCGAGGATTCTCCTAAAGAGAGAGCCGGAAGCGTGCCACGCCGATACCTGGAAAACCAGCGCACCCATCGCGGCATGACTCAGTGAGATGGGGAGGAAAAACGAGCAGCGGCGCCATAAAAGTCGACATAACGGCCGGCTCTGTATCGCCGCGCATAACAGCACCCAAACCACGCAATTCACACGTGCAAATGAAATCTATTCTCAGCTTGTCCCTCGCACTCACTAATTAAGTTTCCCTGGGCTGACTCCACGTACTAATGTAGCGAACGCAAATTAAGGTTAAGCTCACAAACACAAGGGGCATCAGTGGCAACCACTGTGCCAGGACACCGACAGCACCGTGTTTTCGCCCCCCACCGCCCAGAAAAGCGTTAAAAGCGATAGGGTGATGACACAGTGGCATCGCGGCGAGCGTATCACAGAGTCGTGGGCGGCGACAGGGCGACCGAGGGCAAGTAAACTCGCAACATGAACAAATTGATGCCACATCCTGACGATGAAAAGGCCGTAGACAGAAACAAAAGACTGAGACTGCTGGTTGTGTGTGTGTGTGTGTGTGTGGGGATCTACATCTCTGCTCCTCCACAGTCGATTCTGGGCCTCACCACAACCGGCGCACCTCCCTAGAACCCTGCGTTTGTTAAAACAAGCCACCCAAATCCAGCAGCCCGGCCATTCATTCTAGACAAGCCATGTGTAGAAAGCTATTTGTACAAAACATTAGGAAAGGCCAGCGGAGAGCCACAGCCATTTTCTAACTGCTAAAAGTACAGAATGTGGAGAAGGGGGAAAAAATTATAGTCTAAATTCTGTTTTCTTATCAAGCTTTCAGTAGCAACACAGACTCTGCAGTGATTGGCCAGAACGCAGCCTTTACTCACTTCTCACATGTCTTTCTGTGTCATGCACTCTGCCAGCGACGCACAGCGGATACGACCCACGTCACTGCGCCATGATAAAGGTGTGAGTACAACGATAAACACAGCGGCCTCTTTATACAGCGATTTCTTTAACCCTGATTACATCACAGAGACGGCTTCTGCCGAAACCAAATTACACCTCATTTTATGCTGAGGTAACAAAAACCTCGTGCTAAGAGCTATAGCCAGCGATAGAACCATAAAACTTTTTTCCCCCAGAATTTCTCCATCATGTGACTGGAATGCAATAAAGAAGCGTTTTATTAAAAATTCCAACACATAAACTTCCCTTGATGGATTAATCAATACTGACATTTTATCATTTTGCAACACCATTGGTTGGAGCCTCTGGAGCTTAATTGTATCATCTACAAGTTCTTGTAGATGATACAATTAAATTTTTAAAGAAGCACTCTGATTGGCCGAGGCTAGAAAGAATTAACTTGACAGAAATAGCACAAAGAAAAGTTTTTCTTCTGAAGTTCATTTTGACCGTGTCACCGTCACCCAAGATGCCATGTGTAAGGAAAAAAAAAATGTCACAATAATAATAAACTGCATTTCGCTTCCATTCGACCTCGACAGAAATTGCATGGAAGAATACGACACGTGAGAATCTGTTGATAGAAAGCCGTTATGCGGGTTTTGTTGGGTTGAATGCATCCATGCACAAATGTGGGAATGTTACCCTCGCTAGAATGTGCACGCATACACTATGTGCATGCTGTGAAAAAACACTAAGGTCATACAGCAGGGGAAATTAATGCTGTACACAGTTTAATATTTAAAAATAAAAAAGCTTCTCTACTTACCTACAGTGGTAAAGTAATCCTTTTCAATCAACCGATTCTGTGGTGTTTCCAAACTCACAGTCACACTTTAAAATATACTTATCATAACATCACAAATTGAGGTAATGAAATATGACACTGCAGCCTGTAAACAGCCTGCAACTTAACACAAATCATTCTAACTCTGCAGATTCGATTCGGGGTGAGTAGGACAGGACTGCTCCAGGTTTGAAGGTACAGTACAGATTTCCTCCACGAACATTTTCACACAAGCAAGGAATGTTCCACGTCATGCTTTTTTTTTCGGGAGGAAATGGCACCATTAAAACATAAAAACAAGAATTTGGGGGAAAAGGGCTGTTTGAAGCCACACATCTGCTGGGGGCCAGGAAGAGAAATCCCACTGAAATATGCCATTTTTGTGTATCGTCTCCAAAAACACTAAAATGACAACGTGTCTTTGAAAAAAGGCATTAAAATTAATATTTGGATTTAAAAATTTTGAAAATTGAAAAAGCATTTTCATTGAAAATATTTTCAGTTGGGTTACTGGTATTTTTTACTCTTGTTTTCTGAGTGGTAATTTTATCTTGTATGTATAATCCATAAATTCACCAGTCCGATTTTTTGTTGCATTAAAAAAAATACATTTTGGTTTCTGCAGGAGGCCTGAACATGGAAACTAGCAGGAAAATAAATCTGTCCCCAAAGCTTACTGCAGCTCTGATTCTCACACACCTTCTTACATGAATGTGGGATGAGTGGAAACATCAATGAATGCTGCCTGCACTCAGGGCCCTCAGTGCTGCACGTAAGAAACCTGCCTTTTAATAACATCAACAGGTAGTGTGTCCTGTCCAAAACCTGGATGACTACACTTAACATAATATTAATATGAAGGCCCGCCTACTGATACAAAAAGCAAAGAAAATGGGGGGGGGGGCTTGCTGCCAACAATGCTAAATGTGCAAATATTTCAAATACCGCTTTTGAAATCTGCGCAGAATGTATTCGCTCACAATGGAACGAGTTCATAAGAGATTTCCCATTTTATTCGACATGTCAACCCATAAAACTCTGTAAGGCAGCAATTACAAGACATATGCATTCGTATCTCTCTGTAAGCATAACGGTCCAAGGAGTGCAAGGTCTTCCAGGTCGTGCATTCAGAAACCTACCTAACAGTGCAAACTGTGTACATTTACATGCAACATTAAACGTGTGATGATGCAAGAATCATCACAACAACTATATCATTGCAGCTTCCGTCAGTCATATTTTCCCTCTAGTTTGAAAATGACAGTTCGCAATTCTGCTACCTTTTTCACCGGCAGATTAGAAAAAAATATCCGCAGTAATGTGCATTAAGCTCAACTAATTAATTATGCATAACTATAACAATGGTTGGTTGACCGTAGCACATCCACGGCACATAGCTGTCACACATGCGCACAGGCGCGCACCATCATTTCTCACTTCTGGACTGGGTAAGAGTATTACGGCTCACCTTGTAACTAGAAGATTTAATGGGTAATCCCAGGCTTGGGTTTCCTTGTTGCTGGTTGGCGTTGGTCTGCTGTGGCGAGTGGGAATCCTCGGAGTCTTTTCCACTATGATAGACCACCCTATCCGAGATATGGATACTTGAAGCACAGCCCATACTTCAACCCAAATTCTGCCGATTCCTTCTGCTCAAGTGCTTCGCTTCTGCCCTTCAGTTTGTGTTTCTTGCCTCGGATATCTCGCTGTCTTCTTGTTCCTTTCTCATAATCTTAAGGCAAAACGCTCTCTGTCGTTTCCCTTGCAGTGACCCTGAATAATATATCTTCCTTCCCCCCCACCCCCCAACCAGGAAATAGATTTCCTTTCTGCCTTTTACATGAAGTAAATTATATGTATTTTTTACAAATGCGCCCTTCTCTTGCAAATGCATGAATCCGGGAGTACTTTTAACTCGACAATTCAATTCCATACGCAATTCCTCTTCCACTCACTCCCCTCTTCGTCCTCGTACCCACATCATCATCATCATCATCAACACACTCAATTCTTAACTTTTCACTCCCGAATTTGAACTCAGTCTCCCTCGGTTCAGGCAATCGCTTTATCCATTTTTATCCACGTTTATCGACGATGTCTCCTGTCCACGCAGAAAACATCAAATTTTCTCTGCCAGAAAAACAAAATGTTCCCTTTCAACAAATCGGCTCCTCTCAATTCAAGGCAGGGGGGGCACAAACCTCATTTTGCTACAGTTCGGTCCACTTCAGTGCCATTCATAATCAACAGGCTTAAAGCATTGTCCAAGCGCAGAATTCGTCTTGGCAGCCGCTTTGATCTGAAGTCTCACCCCATACAAGAAAATGCGTTTTGGTCAAACCAGGCATGCCATTTCAACTCTCAAAAATAACACAGAGAGCAAGCAGGATCCGTTTTGTGAAACCATCATTCACATTCCCGTTAGCAGTTATGTAACAAAAGTGACAAGAAGAAAATGCATTTCAAACGAGCTGCAGTTTTATCAGAGGCCCACGATTTTTTTCTCCCCCCTCCCCAAAAAAAAAATGATGTAAAGGCTGTCAAATTATCTGTGGTACCACCTCTGAATAATGGAATCGTATAAAAACAAGATCTGCCGTGCGACCTTAAGTTTCAAGTTAGAAAAATTGATCCTACTGTTTGTTATTTATAAATGCACAAGCGCAAAAATAGCCGCAGAGTGCTGTTTTCTGTTAGTCTTTCAGTGCCTTTCTAGCGTTTGCCCTTCCAATTCTTCAGCAAAGCTTGACAGCGGCAGATCCAATAAAAGCACCCGCAAGGATTGACCTACAGCCTTTACTGACGTCAATGCAAATGAGCCGCTCTGGACCAATCAGCGCCAGGTACCCCGCGAGCTGGGCGGGACCCGCCTTCAGAGGGATATTTGAAAATTATATTGTTAAATCTGAAACTCGCCTTACGGTTTTATTAATACTGACGCTTAAATACGAGCTTTGCGTGCCAGTAAATAACAAATTATATTCAAGATCCTGGTTACACCTCATAGTATACGACCATTTTTATGTAAAATAATTTAATCAAAAAAAATTTTTTGACTAAAAAACGGCATGCATTAAGATGATCACGGAAATAGAAACGATTGTTTGTGGTGCTCATATAAAATTCTATTTCAGTATTAAATTACATCATATGTTATGTCATTAAAGAAATTAATATTTCATATATTCTTATGCTTACGTAACTATCTTGTGTTGACATAACTTCCAAGGGTCATATTTCCGGACAACTTAGCTTACAGGCCAAGTAATCTTAAGGTATTTTAGTTGTCCGATGTATAGCTCAGGTAAAGGAATATTATGAATTGAAGCATTTCTCGCATATTTTAAACAACTGGCTGTCACCCAGGCCTGCAATATCAAAATAAAATACAGAAGTTGAATTGTAGGTCTTTGATTTGCGTAACAATCACTTTTTTTGTTCTGAAATTCCAGCAGGATACATATCAACATAGTAAACTTATGTGAGTAAATGTGAGTTGTGAAACAAAAGAAGAAAATAAACACCCTGTTTTGAGTTAAAGAAGTGGTGTAATGAAAATAACAGACCAAAAGTAACATTAATAGAAAACCTAACAGGCCTTAATCATTGAAACTGTTTCCGTTAGAAAATGCCAAGTTGTTGCCTTTTTGTATGTCACTATTTTCTTCATTTGTACACTGAATGAAAACTGAAGGCAATGCAATCCATAGCAAGGCCTGCAGAATGGAAAGAAGCACACCATATATGGTGTCAGGATCATACACAAGAGGTGTGATGTTGCATCACTGCCTGCTGAACCTCTATGCTGCCTATTCTTGGAGTGACACAAAAATACCCATAACTCAGACAACAGGCAGGATGAAAATGTACTTATTTAACCAAGCAGAGGAGCAGGGGCACTGCTAGACATTGCGGGCCCCATAGATGCATATCACATTGGACCCCCAACCCAGACCAATCCAGTTATGTTTCAAATTTTTTTAGGGCACCTGTCACTGTTGGACATCTGGAATCGTCCACACCCCCCTCCCCCCCACACCCCCCATGGTGCCCCTGCACAGGAGTTTTAATGATCCCAAGTTCTCAAAATAATTATCTGTCTCAACAGTGCTTATTGTCAAAGCTCATTACCATTCCATTAAGGAAGCTACTGTCATTGATAGATCTGTTTCAGGAAATACTCAGTCGTCAATGGAAGAGTGTGTTAAAATGATCAGGTTGAAGGAATCTGTTCCTACAATCTAATTCGGCCCCCAACCCAAACCAATCCAGTTATGTTCCAAATTTGTTAGGGCCCCTTTTACACAGGGCATCTGGAATCATCCGTTTTGAAGACACATGATTTGTGGTGCTTCCCGATGCCTGTTACAGAGAGAATGACGCAAGGGTCGCGGGCCCAATAATATGACAATTGCAGGGAATGGGGGTCTTAAAAGACAGCGTCCACCAGTTTTACATCATTTAATCATACAGCTGGACATAACGTGCTTGAGGACTTAGTTAAGTGTCTCAGAAAAATGGTGAAGCCAAAGGCCCCCATGAGACTAAAATACAAAACCTTTGTATGGTTGGCCAAATCATGGGAGTTTCATTACACAATTTTTTTTCTGAGAGGCAGAATGAAAAATGATTGGTTCAAAGAGATAATCAATCAGATTCTAGAGGAAGTGGATCCAAGCAACTAGAGGAGGTAGGTCTAACCAACCAGATGTCTTGGTTCCACCTCTTCTAGTTGCTTGGACCCACCTCCTCTGAAATCTGATTGGTTCTCTCTCTGAACCAATCATTTTTCATTCTGCTCTTGGAACATTTTTTAAAGCATAACTCCCACGAGCAGTTTGCCCACTATATTTCACTTTTCCAGAGTGTTGCAGAAGACTAGGCATCATATACTTTATGAAGTCAAGTAAGGTGATCAGTGGAGCAGGTATCAATATGTATGTGAATCACTTTTGCTCTATGTGATCACCTGGCCTCGAGGAAAACAGACTATTAGGTGCAAAATGTCAAATGTGTCCCATAATAAGTAGCACTGGCATCAGTAATAGACCTTGCAGAGATGATCTAACAGACAGAGATGTGGCTCATTCACAGCAGTGTGTCTTAAAGGAATACTGTATTCTCTGTCATTTTTCACTCAGTATGGTTTTAGTTTAACTAATGAATTATGTTGTGAAATGAAAATACACCCTGTACTCACCCCGAACCTGCAGGATCTATTGCTTGACTAGCAAGAGTCATTAGTCGTGATCATTAGTTTTCTATAAAAGGTCATAATTAGATTATATTGTATTTTTCACTTACACCATAATCGACAGAAATGACTATCCATTTTGTAGTCTTGCATGAAATTAATTTAGTGATTTTTTTTTCTTTAAGCGCGGTCAAACCCAGGGGTCAAACCCACCAGAACACTTTGTTTCTAATCTGACTGAACCAATCTTATCAAAAATGGTAGGCAAACCCTCACGAGAAGATGAAGGTACAAAGATATCACAGCACACAACCAAAAACTCACTAATGAGTTCTGTGGTACGTGTCAGCTCACTAGTGAGTTCTGTGGTACGTGTCAGCTCAGTAATGAGTTCTGTGGTACGTGTCAGCTCACTAATGAGTTCTCTGGTACGTGTCAGCTCACTTCAGCGCACAGTGGCCTGGGTCAGAGAGGCTTTCAGGGGGAGACAATGGCAGCCGAGCAAACATCTTACTGCTTATTTCCAACACTTCATTTGCCCAAGGTGCCCGTCTACCTGTGATAGGGAGAAGTGAAAATACGGCTCCCGACTAACAATAAAGGTGACAGAAATTAATCGGTTTTGGATTATTTGTTCAAGGACCAATTCCTCGTGGAAGCAGTGTGAAGCAAAGTTACCATAGCCTGTACTGGTGGGGGCCTGTACAGTGGCGATGAGCCTCCACTAGAGGGAAATCACTGAAAATGTTCAAACCTAACAAAACATTTATCCCACTGATACAGTCTGTCAGTGCTACTGTGACCTGCAGTCATATAGCTTAACTATAAACAACCAAAATTCAGCTCTCCAAAACACATGGTGTCTTAGATTCAAAATCTCTATCATGCTAAAATCCATCCATATTCTGTAACTGCTAGTCCTGTTCATGGTTGCAAGGCTTCTGGGGCTGATCGCAGAGACTATGGCTGTAAGGCAGGGAGCCCATCGCAGGGCATACACTAACCATTCACTCACACAAGCACACATACAGGCAATTTGGTAAATCCAATTAACCTCAGCATGATTTTTGGACTGTGGAGGGGGGACCTGGAGTACCCTCTAGGAAACCCCATGACAACATGGGGAGAGCATGCAAACTCCACACACATGGAGCCATGGCAGAGACTCAAACCCAGGTCCCAGAGGTGTGCGGCGACAATGCAAACCACTGCACCACCATGGTAAAAACCATAATTCATTATTAAACTGAATGCTCTTTAATCCATTTAGACAGATGACACAAGGATGATAAAGTGTGTGAATGTATTAATTAAAACACAAAAACGATTTTTTTTTTACTACCAATGAAATTAAAACACTGTATGAAATTCATGGGCATCTATATGGCTTATTGCTGAAGACACAGCACATTATTAAATGTACATAGTAATCAAAGTACAGGGCCCACCAATCTGTGTGGGATCCTTAAAACCATCCAACAAACACCTCCGGTCATTGCGTGTTGGGGTGGGACGACGCTTATGACATCATATGCTGGCTGCATCGCTAGGCACCGGAATCCCTTCAATATCACGTAAGATGAGGCAGATGGGCCAGCAGGAAGAACAGCTACTTAGGGCCCATCGTCACCATCTTCTGGACGTCAGGAAAGTCACCTATATCAAGTAACAGATAGTCATTCATTTATGACATCTTGTTATGGAGGTGACATGAGGAATATCTGAGATTATTATCTTATTTCGTAAAGAAAATGCCATTAAGCCAGTGTTTCCCAACCCAGTCCTCGGGGTCCCACAGACAGCCCACGGACTGGCAGGGAGCTGGGAGGGAGCAAAAACATGGACTGTCTGGCAGGGAGCTGGGAGGGAGCAAAAACATGGACTGTCTGGCAGGGAGCTGGGAGGGAGCAAAAACATGGACTGTCTGTGGGTCCCTGAGGACTGGACTGGGAAACACTGCATTAGGCTATTTATTTTACATATTGTGTCAAACCTGTAACAATGACACGGTCACAGTGCTGGTGGCATGTGGCAGGGAGGATAGAAATGTCAGTTTTCATGATCCAGAAATTAATGGCCTTAAGGTTTACAGTTCAGACAGAGTAAAGGGGGCTGTAAAGTTCAGTTTGGGGGGGAGGGGTAGTTCATAGCGGATTATCTTTGGTCTGTTAAGTGCAGATCATCATGGGATTTGTGGGGTTCCAAGCTATATTTTGGAGCCAAAAGAGGAAAATGATGGAACATCAATAATATGCTAATCAAAGCAGAATGTGCCAGTGGTAAAACTTACCAATCAGGGAGGAAGCTGGGGTGCTTTTGGTAAAATTTGCCAATCGGGGGGAGGGGGGAATCACGCCGGCAGCTCGATTGGCCAAATTTAAAAAGTTTCTTTAAAAACCCACTCCCTCTTTTGCCGTGTCCCTGGCTGTATACCCTAGGACAGCCTATACCAGGCTGTATACCCTAGGACAGCCTATACCAGGCTGTATACCCAAGGACAGCCTATACCAGGCTGTATACCCTAGGACAGCCTATACCAGGCTGTATACCCAAGGACAGCCTATACCAGGCTGTATACCCTAGGACAGCCTATACCAGGGTGGGGCTCCTGTTCCATGGAGGACCGGTGTGCCTGCAGGTTTTTGGGATGAAAACTTTTGCTAAGAATGTAAATAACAGACATGTTGCTATAATTTAAATGATCATTTATGTTATATCCATAAATGTCATCCAAGCCAAAAAACGACTCTTAGATTGAAACATTATATTGCATTTTAGTTGTTAAGGGCTTGGGGTAAATCACACTACATATTTTGAAATCTTTGACTAGAAACCCCAGCAGTGATGTCTAAATCTCAGCCGAGCATGCATTTCTACATGATCGATAAAATTTTACTAATCACCTTCTAATCACCTTGAACTTTTTCTACCAAGCTGTCACAAAGTTTTCTGTTGGGGATGAGCAAAAATCATGCTGCTTAAAATCCATCCATTTTCCATAACCACTTATCCTATTCAGGGTCATGGGGGGAGGGGGGGGGAGAAGGGGGAGAGTACAGAGCCTATAGGTGCAAGCCAGGGAACAACCCAGGATGGGGCACCAGCCCATTGCAGGGCACAGTCACACACCATTCACACCTATGGGCAATTTGGTAACTCCAATTAACCACAGTATGTTTTTGGACTGTGGGGGGAAACCAGAGTACCCAGAGGAAACCCCACAACGACACGGGGAGAACATGCAAACTCCACACACATGGAGCCACCATGGCGGAGACGTTAACCCTGGTCCCAGAGGTGTGAGGCAACAGTGCAAACCACTGCACCACCCTGCCCTCAGCTTAAAAGTCATATATGATATTTACTGATGACTGACATCACAGTAGCCGTTTTAATCCAACTTACGATCAACTGAGCTGAGCTAAGATTTGGGCCTGCCCGTGTCCTACAGTGGTCGACCCTGATCCAGTCCTACAAAGAGAAAACTTAGTAGTGAACACTGACCACATATACAGCCATGGAAAAAAATACGAGACCACAATTTTTCACTTCACTAATCTCTCATAAGCAAATATATTTTTGCAAACTGCAGCCTGGTTCTTCTCTGTTTCTCATTAACAAAGTGCTTCTTACTTGTTTTATGGAACTTCAGTCCTGCTTCTAAGAGCCTGATGCGAACTGTCCTAGCAGTGCATTTACACCTGCACTTAATGTGTCCCATTCCATTTGAAGGGCATCCTATGATTCATGAAAATTTGTCCGATAAGTTAACAATCATCTCTGGCATTAGAAAGTCGCTTCCGCCCTTTACCTGGCTGGTATCTGGTCATCCCCAGTGTCTCCTACTTCACCTTATTCTTGTGTACTGCTGTCTTAGAAATTTTGAACCTGGTAGCAACCAGCTGCTCAGCAGAAGCACGATTAAACCAGGATTTAGAAATGCAGATTTGTTTAAATATAGAGTGGTCTCTTAACTTTTTCCGCACATGTATCAAGGGAGGCAAGGCCCACATAAAACTGCACCAACATGAACAAAAATACAGAAGATAAAATAATTCTGGTCCTAGTACAGAAACGTGCTCACTACCATAAAAAAGAAAAATTAGACATCAAATATTTAAGACCTAAATGCTTCCATTGCGTAAGATCCCTCAGACATTTGCCAAATTGCACATTTCCTGTGGTTTTGGATGTAGGGGTCTAAAAGACCTCAAAGCTCCCTTTACCAACCGGGTCTGAAGGCAAACACAGAGTCCGGGGCGGTGCAACTGGACAAGAATCTCTCAGAGACGCGCTTGCGAGTGGGCCGGCGATGTGCGCGCTGGGGTTACACGTGTGCGCGCTGGCCACGCGCCCTGGACAGTCGGTCACAGTCTCCCATACAGTTTCTGTTGACCAAATACTTTGTCTACCAAAATATAACTTGTAATTCCCTTTGCTGTGACGCATCTACTCGTAATGTATAAGAAGCAGAAGAATATTTTAATTACAGTTAAACTTATTTACGGGTAAAGTAGAATTTTGTCGAAAAAAAAATGCCAAAGAGAGAGCAAGGTAACAAAGTTGTTTTTCATTTAACATTTTTGACAACGCCAGTTTAGGAAGTCCGTGGGAAGCAGTGCAGTTCATTAACCTACAGCGCTTACAATGAGCTTACACGCTGCTGAAATTAGAGCGCTAATGCCGTGGCCACCTGAATTAGCATCTTATTTAATTAGCCTACCTCCTTCTGTTAAATTATCAAACATGCATAAAGACAATGCAAGACGCATTTATGTAGGTTTAAAATATATTTATACCACCTTGTTTCATTATTGATCTATTTCGAGTTCTGCATGCTACCACAAAGATTGACTAAGCATAGCCACGTCTTTTGGGTTGCACCCCCTAATAATGACTGAACAAAAATCTCCTTTTAAACCGTCACGTTTTCATTTTTCATGGATACAGGCCACATAGTCAGGATTGTCTACTTCAGGAGTAAAAGGCCTTCGTTCAGGTCAGAATGAAGACAAACACCGTACATTACTAAAACCTACTGTCAATGCGAACTCACATTCGGACAAATGAGAATGAAGGTGACCAGTCTGCAAGATTAGATGCCAGTTTATTTTTAGCAGAAATGTGAGTCGAAATCCCCCCCCCCCATTCATATATGGGACTGTATCTTTAATATGTTAGCATAAAGCAGCCGGTTAAAAAAAAACGCAGGACAGGATACAGACCGATTAAATAATATTAGGGTAAATACTACACAAATGTAAATATTCCAAGAAGATATCACAGAGGAAATGGAACTTAACTTTTTTGTTGCTTGATAACCAGGTAGGTGGTCTTTCCTTTAAATAAAACGACCTCTTTAAATCATATTACGGATAGCCTATTTACTCTTAAAGTTGCAAACACCTTCTGGCCATCTGTCAACTTACAAAGGCGCACAATTTAAAACAAAACTTTTATTTTAAAACAAACCTTTTGTTGTGGTCCGTTCGTCACCCCATCTTCTTCAAAATCAAAATTTAAATTCTGTTCTTCCATCTCAAAGTCACTCTTATAGTGCCTAATAGTCTCCTTGATAAAGTGTTTCCATTCAGTATCTTTCCGTTAAGGCATAAAGTGGGATTTTTGTGAAAACAAGTGAAGGGAGATTAAAAGATTTCATGCCAAATTTTTCTTCTTTTTAAATATAATCTACACTATTAAAACAAACCGACTTTGGCTTCTAAAACCACATGTAGTTCCTCTTGAATATAGTTTACGTCCAAGTTAACGATCGACTCCTGTGCACAAAATGAGTTAAAACTTTTTGAAAATGTGGTTTGTCAGATGAAAAATACTGTTACTTACTGCATATCGGGCCCCTTTAACACACACCTACACTTCGTTCGATACTCAAAATTAAGAAGGTTTACTTCGATCTACAAGCCACTCCCCTTCCGTGCTGTAGACACCGGACAGGGGTTGCAAAATAAAGCAGGAAAATCACTCGAACGGGACCAGCAAAAGACATGCATGTTTCTTACAGAACCTGTGCCTTGAACCAGACGCGAGATCTGTAAGATCCTACTGTATGCCTCAGCTTAAGGTGAAGCAAGATCTGAAAGAAACGAACACCTGTACAACAAATCTCGTTTATTTGGGCTGACAAACAAACGATTGGTGATCGACGAGATAGACGCTTATTATAATAAGTATTTAATTTCATGACTTGGATATCATTTGATTGACGGACAGCAGGAGCGCTACTGCTTGAGGTGATGAAGTAACACATTAAAAATACGCTTGCATCACACCAGACCTGCAAAGACAATTAGCAACGCAAAAAATATAGCTTACGGTCAAAAGCTCAGCATTGTGACCAACAATAATGTAATGCATCTTTATTTAAATTTCAAGGACAGATTTGCATGCAAAGTTTAGCAGCAAAAACAAAAGAAATAATGTTTACAATCGGTTTTCCACATAAACAGATCGTCTAGGCTCCTATTTCATCTATCTATCCATCCATCCATCCAACCATCTATGTATATATATATATATATATATATATATATATATATATATATATATATATATATATATGAATTGTAGGACTACAATTTCAGAACAGCAATATGGATTCTCAGCAAAGATACATACCATATATCCTTTATTGTATGCCCATGAGAACTCATGTCAATTGATAGTTTTATTAAATGTTCTTTTCATGCAAATATTATGAAAACAGTTTAGCAGTCCAAACGGGCCAAAGACTCGGTGTTGTAGATGTGACCCAAGCAATAGGTATATGCTGTAGACTTGAAATAATATAAATGGACCCTATAATTATTGATCTGAAGGAAAATGATTACATATTCATTGGTGGGAGACAAAGAAATGCATGACCCAATATAAATGAAAAAACAAACAAAATAAATACACATTTTATAAAATACCTGAGTATACAAGTCAATTTTATATCATGACCTACAATTTAGACTAACACATCTGGTCATTTTTAAACATTTACAGAACTTTAAGAAAATGATGAACACCGGTTTTTGGGACTGTCTTGAAAACGTGACATTCAGTGGGAGGTAGGTTAAAATGTCTGAATCCTTCCTCCTCCTAGTTTATTAAAACACCCTGCCTACTTATCAATTGTCTGGCTGATGAACAAGGGGTCAATTATTAATGTGTTTAATATCAGCTGATCAGATAAGATGCATTTTGCACTTTTAGTTGTTATGAACTGAACTGAACTGAGATTTAAGGAAGATAAGGACAGCTTTTTTGCGCGAATGCTTACAGCACTGATAAATCATGCAGAGATAAAAATTGTGGCTCGCTGTTTTCCGGCACGTAGGCACGCAAAAGCTCAGTGAAAGCTGATCATTTTTCTGGCAGGACTAGTAGCTGAAGTAGGACTGCAGAGTGCCTCTGCGGCGCACATCGGCGGTCCAGCAGTGGAAGCCTCCTCCCAGGGAGTTGGCATGCCGAATGCTCACCTTGATGGGTGTGATGCCTGCGAGAATGCAATCAGACTCATCAACATGAAAGTTCTGGGATCCGAGCTAAACGCTGCTCTCCTGACACTAAAAGGTGGTGGAGAGCCGGCAGATCTACATGAAATATGTGTTCAGGTATAGTTCACAGACTACAGAAATACTGAAGGAAACCTGTTGAAAAATAACGATGTTATTTTTTGGCCCATATTTTATATCTTTAAGATCGTTGCCCACTAAGTCAGTACCTTCTCCAAATGCCCTCAGAGACCAAATACATTGCATTCCATTTTGAAAAATTTCCATTAAACAGCAGCGCAAAAGCATAAGACTGGGCTGAAACATCCTCTTGCTGCCTGTACAAATACAATTGTCTGCATAAACTCACCAAGACGCTCAAACATCTTCTGAATGGACGTCTCATTGGCATCAACCATTACACGCTTTTCATCCAACATCAAGACGTTCATTGACAGCCATTTCGAGGACATCCACAGGGGATGATCTAAGATGACAGGTAACATGTGAGCAGGGTTAAGCTGATCTCTTTCCATTCACTCATCAGTATTATTTGATCACACTACAAAAACTGCCAAATTTAACATCTCCTTACAAGAAAACGCAAACAGAATGAGACTTTCAGTATCAGATTAGTTTTCTCATACCATCAGGAATCAAAGGTGTCGGAGGTTTCACCACATTCCAACCAGCCTTCTCAAACATTTTTATCTGTTAACGGGCAATTAATGAAGAAGAAGAAGCGTGATGTCAGTGATTTACAGCATTATTCCAGCAGATGGCAGCATACGACATGTAATGATGGGCAATGCAAGAATTTCTTTTTTGTGACCACCCACAGTTTCTACGATTATTCTACAAAGTCTATGGATAATTTACGTCAGTAACTAAAAGTTCATGTGTGTATATTGTTTACCTACTTTATTTTAGGGAGGACAAAATTAATAACAATGTATTTTAAGTTTAATGTAAAGTAGGTCTATTTCAATAATCCCACATATTGGTGCTCAGGCCTAAAAATTAAAATTAATCTTCATAAAAAAAAAATTCTCAGCTTCCAAATAAACTTGACAAAAAAATATGATACATAAATGCTACCATGACCATAGTTAGTATAGTACACAAAGAGGACACTCACCTGGTGGCAGGGCCTATCCGGGTTGGACAGTACCAGGCCCGGCCCGATGATGTTAAAAGTGGCATCAATATGCATGGGGTTGGGGTCCGTGAAAGAGATGATATGCACCTTGTAGGTGGGAGCCAGATGTCTCTGCATCCACTCTATCCCCATGAAGTTTGTCACCTTAAAAAAAAATCTTGAAGCACTGAGCGTGATGCTTGAGATATCTCCTGTGCATTTACAAATTGTCTTTATAAATTTAATAAATTACTCAGCTATCTCCATGCTACTGTTTTATTTTAGCTACAAAGTGTCTGCTGTTGTGTCATGGAAGGATTAGGTAACATTTTTACCTACGTATGGCCCTCCAGAGTGACAACAGCCCCACATAATGATAAACCAGCCTTGGTATTTCAAGGTCTTTGTTTAGTTTTGGGCTGCATTTGCTTGGACCCACCCTTGAAAACACCCAAACCCTTCTGATCTCCTGCTGAATAATCCTGCCACACTGCCGCTGGTGTTGGGCTTTGAAACTCACCTGACTCCTCTGGACGAAAATGTCCCGCCCGGCACGGATGAAGTCGGCAGCGTCGAAACAGGGTTCATGTTCTGTGGTGACAAACTTTCCCTGAGCAGCGAGTTTGTGTCTGTCCTCCACAGTTCGGATGGGGTAATCCTGTAGACACAATTCACAGGTAATATTTACACCACAACCAAGAATTAAAGGTGCACCAAGTGAGCCAGAACTAACAGAAATGCTTAAAATAGGGTTGCTGAAGTGCTTTAGCGCCCCCTCTGTTTGTTGATAGTAATGCAGTTTCAGAATGCTGTAGAGCAGTCTGCCCATACCTGCACCATAAAAACCAAAAACACCAGTCTACGTTTTCATGCTTGTTATCTTGCTGGTAGCTGCTGTCAACGATGCAAAATAACTTCAGTAAAGTCTATTGATCGTTCCGACTTTCAACACCCTGAGCTCAAAACATCTTCCTGCGTCTTTCAGAGTGAGATACTTATAAAGATCAGGATTTAATGAACTGACATGTCCTATGGTAAGTTATCGACCTGCATTTCTCAATTCCACAAAGTGCTGACTTGCCACTTTTTTCTGATAAGCAGTGCCTGTTCACATGTCTCCATTTGGGTTCTGTTTGCAAAGTGTATGGATAAGGATATCGCAGTTTGAATTTCCACGCCCCTGCCTGTCCTTGATTGATAAGCTGCTTCAAAGACATTTTTTTACCTGGTCATAGAGTTCATCAGCCATGGTTGGTTTTGGGGCCGTGGTCCACTTAGCACCTTTTTGAAAATATTCCTTAATGAGGGGGCGGTAGGCCCTGTACTCGAAGAAGCGAGCCCTCCATGCCATCGGGGCTTCGATGATCTCATTCCCCACGACCAGAAGAATGTCACGGGGCATTGCAGCGTACATGCCTGGAGGAAGACAAGATGGTCTGAGTTCTCCTGGAAAAAGCACAGCCCAACCTCCAGGATGGTGCCTTAGTCAACCCCTGAGAGAAGCTTCAGAAGAAAAAAGCAGGGGGCATACTTAGAGATTAATGGATAGGGGGGCAGAGTCTTTACTAGAGGGGGAGGATGGCAAACTATGCATAACTTAAACAAATAAGCACACATTTATTTGGGGGTGGGCATTTTTTAGGGGGGCTAAAGTTAGATAATATCTTCCAAAGGACAAAGGGAACTGCTGAGGACAAAACTTTAGCCCTAAGCCTAATAACTTACACAAACTAATAAGAAATGGCACATCAGAAAGCCTGGAGGATAGGTAGCAGACAGACCAAGCCCACCTGTAGATGTGAAATCGGGGGTTGTGTACTGAAAAGACCAGTCGATCGGTTCAGGTCTCCTCACGGTAACCCCCTCCAGGCGCAAAATATTGCACATTTCCTCAATCTCGGCCACAGCCTTCTTTGAGTGTTCCTCAGGAAATGTCTGTCCCCCATATTTTTGGTAGAAGGGCCAGTACTTCTCATATGTGTTAGCCTGTAAGAATTCAAGTTAACGGTAGTATGTTAAATATAGTTAGAAGACAAAATTCGCAAAAAAAAGTAAAAAATAATACATTTCGAAAGTGCACTTTCTAATTTCCATACCGTACCTTGACCTCCACAGTGAATGGAGGCACGCGAGCATTCTCGGCTCTTCCAACGATGACTTCCTCCAGCGGGTCCCATTCGTTGTAGGCGCAGACGGGACACTCGAGGCGATCGGAATCGGACACGGTATCCTCGTCGGCGGCTGCGGGCTGAACCGCCGCGGCCGAGCTAGCGGTGCTCCGGAATGCTCTCTGCACCCACCCAGTCACAGCTCGGCCAACCTAGAGGGCGTTTAGGGCCACGTCGTCAAGGGAGCGGATCACTGCAGCCTAAACCGATTAATTGGCTTATTACATGAAAGTCGAGCCTTTATCTGCCCAATTTATTTTTATCGGCAATAAATCTTGAGAAAAAAAATCCGACGAAGTACGGTGAAGCAGGATTTCGCAGATAAAATGTTATACGATGAGAATGTCAAGATGCACACATACTGTTTAATTCGATTAATTTTTATTTCATCAGATATTAAAGAGTTTAAATCCTTTGTTGCCGTCTCAATGAGGTAACATAAGCCTTTGACGGTAAACCCTGTTGATTTTCAGCCAAGTACTACATTAATTCGATATCTATAGCCGTACAGTAGATAACTTTCAAGGTTTTCGAGGGCGTTCAGGCAGGCCAGGTGCCAAAGACAGCTGTTCTGTCATTCATAGTTGTACAAGAAACTATTGAAGAAAATGACTTGTGTATTTAAACAGAAAACCAAAAATTAAAAAAAAAAAATTGCTTGGAATGATTCGATTTTTTCCCATCGAAAGAGAGTTAATCTCTGCAGAAAATGTCTCTAAAATGTTCAGATTTTTAATCGGTTGACAATTTATGCGACAAGACAGTGATTTCGCTGTTTAAATGCTATAAAATGTTTGCATACTAAACACAAAAGTCGATGAGTAGCAGGCCATCTTTAGAGAATGCATGAATTTTATTTTGTTATTTATGATTGAAAATAATTATGAATTTATACTAACCATAGTTCCAATAAGATGAGCTGCCTCAGCCCCCCTGCTACCTCCTCTCAGACACCTTACTCGCAGCATTGTCGTCGAGCCCGATACTTAAAAGAAAATGGGGATTCTGGCAACTAGCGATGCTCAGATTTAGTACCTCGGAGACCGTATTTGAGATTGGGTGCTGCGGGACCCATTTATACCTCAGCGACACTTGGTAGCCTATTGGTCGCTATTAAGAGTCATGAAGCAACGTGACTTTTAAAAATTCACCACGAAAGACGATACGTTGCGGCAGCAAATTCTTATCAGTCCCCCCGCCCTGGATCTAAGAAAAGGGGGGAAAAGTGGCGCAACAAGATGGGCTGACTGAAATGGCGTTTATATAAAAGCGAAAAGGAGAAATTGATATTTAGTGCGAAAACGTAGCCTATGTGCAGCGCATAAAATATGCTTTTTAATTGAAAAAATACCTTAACGTACTAAATTTTCATTCCGTGCATTTAGAATGGATTGCTATATAGCCTAAGTTATTTTCAGGAATCTGCAGCTGCGGCCATCGATTAAATATTTTCAAATCTGCGTGCTAAGTTTAACCAAACAAAAGTCGTTTATTCTCTACTAAATGCGTAGCTAACGGGTCCTTAGTCTAACGATTTTCTGTCATTAACGACTTTGTTCACCACATTCTTATCGATAGACCTACACATACGTTTTACACAGGGATTTGAACAAAAATGGGCAACCATGCGTTAACGCCATCCGGTCAAGAATATATTGTAATAATCAGAGAATGTGGGAAATTATAATTTTCTTCTCCATCGGAAACATGTCTGAATAAAAATGCGGTGGCAAGGTGAGTTTTATGAGTGATCGCGGTGATTTAATTATGTCGTACTTGCCTGTGCTTGGTTACATGCATGCATTTCAACACAATCTTAACGAAAATGATGTAGACCAGGCCCTCTGGTGGCCCAAAACTGGCTTTGAATCGCCCGCTTTTAAAACCTTAAGTCACGCATATCAGCCCCCTAGCAGAACTCCGACTAAGCGACGTGGCAGAACGTGATATAAAAACCGTACCTTTCAGCTCAACCTACTTTGCCATTTAAGATATCAGGGGCTGTACGTGACGAAAAGCTTTTTATGTAAGTGGTTAAATAACCGTTATAATCTGGATAACTGAGGGGATTTATGCATGCAAATCCGCGATTGCAGAACTCGGATTTAATAATGGAAAACAAGAATCCGTGTCATGACAAAATTATTTTAAGAAAATTGTTAAATAATTTCTTAAATAACCTTGATACTGCTGCAACCATTTCTAATCTCCGGTTTCTGTTTAAGGTTGAGGCAATAGGTTACGGTATTACTGTGCCCAGTTACCCCTGCAGAATAAAAAAAAAAAAAAAGAAACTATCGCAGAAATATGTTATGGCTTTTATTTCTTTTGACTATGGTACCGTTCCAATCAGATACGCCGACGGGAAAAACCCCACTAAACCAGAATTTTGCACTTTAGATATAAAAACATTTTCCCAAATATTTATTCAAAAAAAGCATTTAAACTCGTTATACAGGTGAGGAACTTTCAGATTTCGTTAAGTAGTATTTTTGATAGTACTAAAACTCCCACAAAATGTCACTGTATACCGGATGACATAGGCGATATTCGTGATATCCTATAGTTCCACACATCAAATGTTACATTTGGCAATGCAGGAAGAAGAAGAAAAAAAGCTGTTGATGAGGCAAATCCACTGTTGTGGGTAAACAGGTTGTTGGGGGGGTGATTGGATTGGTCTGGTCTGGAGATCCAACATGGCATGCTTCCATGGGGCCCAAAATCCCTTCCATGGGGCCCAAAATATTAATATAAATAGATCATATTTAGTATGCTTGGACCTAGTGGTTCATTGGTGTATTGCCATCCATAATGGTATTGGGATTCATGTTTTCTGTAGTATTAATCAACAAGAATGCTGACATTGTAATTAAGGTCTTTGCTACTTGTCATCTTTGCATTTCTCATTGTGAATTTAGAAAATTTACCTGCTGTCCAGAACCTGAGTAGGTGAAATGTCAGAGTATTCTTTGAACTGCAGATAAGGCCTTTGGTTTGACCAAGAAATCCCTAGAATGGGGACAACACTCCCACAAGGTCAGGCAGCAGCTCCCAGCATCTTACAGGACATTGCCTTCAGCCTGTCATTGAGTTTTGGTGCCAACTGGTACATTCAGGACCAGCAGCTGCAGGTGGTCGAGCACGAGAACTCTTCCACTCTTCTCATCCTGGGCTTGCATATTGCCAGGTCCAACTGCCTGTCCCTTCAATAGGTGGCTAATCACCGCCTGTCCATAATCTTCAATACACCTCATACTATTTGCCATGAATAACCCACTTAGCTGTTTTTGACATCTTATTCTATTCGCCTATTTAATTAATGCCACCAGAAATGTGTAATCAGAAACCGAAATCTAACAAAAAATAATCAAGAAAGACGTGGAAAACTCTACTGGACCCTCTAGATGGCACCACCTAACAGCATTCCCCATCAAATATGACAAGTCTAAGATCTAAGGTACCACAACACAACACACAGCAGAGACACTGGGAAGCATGGCTTAACCGAACAGGTTGCCCTAAATTCTAAACATGATTAGACCCCCAACACAAAATGGACTCAAAACTCCACAACTAAACAGAAGGAAAACACAACAAAGCTCGCTTTCACTACATTCTCCTCACGTACTTCTCTTGTTGAATATACCCAGTTAAATGTACCCTATAAAACCCTAATTCAGAGGTTTCTACAGTTAGAACTAGATGGATTACATTACATGAACTGGGTGTGTGACATTAACTGGGTTAGCTGAAGTGAGGCTGCTGGTGATCAAATCTATCCCGCATTCCACAGCATTCCTCAATAGTGCAACTTCAAAACAACTCGGACCATGCAGCCACATAGTGAATTTCCAGGTTTGACCCCCCCAGCCAGAACAGAAAAATCTACACCCCACGAAATGTATTTATGTCTACAGGTCTGCTTTGATTTTTGTGTTATATTTTTTATTTAAAGTGCCTTCTATATTATTCATCTTCAAAATAGCACTAATCAACATGGTATAGTTAATTACAATGTAGTGTTTTGAAAATTGTATTCATTAGATATTAGAAGACATCTTGTAATGCTCACATTCATTCAATATAAGATTTTTAAGTAAATCAGATTACCTGTTTTGGTAGTGCATAACTACACTGCCCGTCCAAAAAAAAAGTCGCCATTTGAATTTATATCAGCAAATACTTAAAAGCCAATGACTAGATCATTATTACAGTCCTGCAACGTTATGCAGCAATTGTCACACCCCGATCGTGCTGATCCTCCTGTGCCACGCCCCCGCCCCCTCGTTAACCTCATGTCGATTCCTTGTGTTTAACAGCTGTTTCTCATTGTCTGTATTAGTACGGTGTATTTAAGTCCACGTCAGAGTTTGTTTCCCGAGTTCTGTCATTGCAGTGTCGTGCGCTATATTGTTGTATTTTCGTGTAGTGCGCTATATTGTTGTATTTTCGTGTAGTGCCGTGGTTTCCCATTAAACCCTTTCGTTTAACCCCGTTCCGGCCTTTGTTCGCCTGCTTCCCTGGTCCGTGTTCTACGCCATATGACAGCAATAAAGTGAAGTCAGCTGAGTATACCTGAATCTACTGAATTGCCAGGTTACACCTCCATCCATCATTTTCTTCCCTGTTGGCATAGGCATATTCCAGGACAAGAATGCCAAGATTCAATGGGTTCAAATTGTCAAAGAGTGGTTCAGGGAGCACGAGGAATCATTTTTAAGCGTGACCTGGTCACCACAGAGTTCTGACCTTAACCTCATTGAAGGTCTCTGGGATGTGATGAAGGAGGCTTTATGGAGTGGTTCAACTCACTTGTCAGTACAGGATCTTGGTGAGAAATGAATGCAAATCTGGATGAAAATAAAGGATGAGATGTTGCATAAGCATGTGGAAACAATGCCATGACAAATATGCGCCATAATCAAAGCTAAAGGCGGCCCAACAAAAAATTCAAATAGCGACTTTTTTTTTGGACGGGCAGTGTATAAGATACTTAAAATGACTTAACTGTTGGCCTATAATCTGACTTTTAAATCAAAGCGTTTACAATACCCACTATCAATGTTTATAACTTTACTAAATATTGATGCACCACTACAATTTTTAAATAAGCCGACTGGCTAACAGAAATGTAATACGGTTGCGGGAAGTCGGCACAGCCTTTGTAAGCACAAGAGTACTCGAAATATGACAGTGCAAATCACTGAAGATCACAATGCTCCGCCTTCACGCTGGGGAAAAAAACTACCGATTTAGCAAAGTCCACACTTATTTGGAAGCTAGGTGTACTCGCTATACTTCAGAATAATGCTCTTCTGACTTCATTCAACTGGTGGATACACATAGTTCGGCAATAAATTCATGTGCATCTGATTTTGATTACAATGTACATTTTCTCAGCATTTCTTGCCACCGTGGTTGTATTACCACTGGTTATAAATGTGTATTTTCCTTACTTTTGGATGGACTGCTTGTATATGGTAAAAATTATAAGAGCTTTGATCAAGTTTGCTAGGCGCACGATGGGGAAAAGATTATTTTTTGTATTAGACAAATTCTACGAGCAAGTGGCAAAGCACCCCGAAAAACCATTCATCATTTTTGAAAATGAAACGTTTTCATACCGGGAGACAGACGCAAAAGCCAACAAAGTCGCCCAGGCTTTGAAAAGGCACAGCAGGTTGCAAGCGGGGGACACGGCGGCGCTTTACATGGGAAACGAGCCGGCGTTTATTTTCACCTGGCTCGCGCTGGAGAAGCTGGGCTGCTCAGTGGCTCTGCTCAATCACAACGTCAGGTCAAAGTCTCTCCTGCACTGTTTCGGCTGCTGTGGGGCAAAAGTCCTAATTGCAGCTGCAGGTAAAAAGTGAAAATAATTTCATTTAATTAACTAGGGTGATTTGCTTTGAAATGTTTATTTCTGTACATCTGTATGTAACCTATTTATTTATTCCTCATCAACGTTAAGGAGGAATATCAAATGCATTGCTCAGCCTGGGGAAACACTAACCAAACTTTTCTCTTGAATCAAAATGAAATGTGTATGTATGTGTGTTTAATGAGAATGCCCAGTGTACAGTGTTTCTTTTCCAGATCATTCTTAAATCATACTCCTTCTTGAACTGGGTTTAAACGAAATACACCGTTAAGTACATTGGTCTCTGTCTGATCACAATGTTCTAAGTCAGGGGTGGGCAATCTTATCCGCAAAGGGCTGGTGTGTTTGCAGGTTTTTGGGATAACCTGTAGGTCAGCTGTTCAAACCCAGGTGTGAGGACTCTTCAGCCAATCAGTCCTCTAATTAGTAATCTAATTAGGGAGTTGCAGCGAAAACCCACATACACACCGGCCCTTTGCGGATAAGATTGGCCACTCCTGTTCTAAGTGAACATGCATGTAGACCTTGTTTGCACATGGAAATGGGGAGTTCAGGACCAGAAAGTATAAATCCAGACCATGTTTCAACCAACCAGTTGAGGATAAAGAGTCACAGTCACAGAGTATTCAGAGTATACTGTTTGGTTGGAACAAAACCTTGGTCTGGATTTGTACTTTCCACCTCTGACTCTTAGTTTTATGTCATAACTTTAGTCATAACTTCTTCGCTCCTCCGTATTCCTGCCCCACTCTTCAGACCTCACAGATGCTGTGCGGGAAGTGCTCCCCGCCTTGCAGGAGCAGGATGTCACCGTGTTTGTCATGGCAAAGGAGCAGAGCACCCAGGGTATGGTGACCTTGCTGGACAAGGTGGAGGCGGCGTCGGATGAGCCCATTCCGCTATCAGCCAGGTCGAACATAACATTAAAAAGCCCAGCTGTTTACATCTACACATCTGGAACAACAGGCACGTTCAACTCCTTTCCTGTAACATCAATATACATTCTTCGAACCATTTATGGCACTTTGTGTTAGTTCAATTTCAGTGTGTTTTCGGTATTTAATCATGTTCAGTTATGTTAAATTTCAGAACTACCCTCATTCAGTGTCCTTATGTAAACCATGTGTTTCTGTGATGTTTACATTTTGCATGCATGGGTATCGGCTTTGTTAGGCATGAACTGGCAGCATTTTAACTGTAGCCGCATATGGGTGAGACATGCAGAAAACTCCAGCTTTCCAGTGCAGCGTCAGTCAGTCCTGAAGCTTTAACTCTAAAGCACTGCCCCCCTGCACCTTCACTCCAGGCCTCCCGAAAGCAGCTGTAGTCAATCAGCATCGCCTTCTGATCGCCATGGCGGTGCTGACGACCAACGGTGTCACTCCGAAGGACGTTGTTTACATCAATCTGCCTCTGTATCACGCTGCTGGCTTTATCATAGGCTTCCTTGGATCCACAGAAATAGGTAAAATTTACTTTCTGTCATAAAAGGTGGAATACTGGGCAAGCACCTGTATTTAGCCGTTGAAGCTCAAAAGTGGGATTAGCATGTAGATATATCTAAGGATCCAAGACATTATACTTTTATATAAAAAATACATTACCTGAATTCTAACTGTGGTCTGCACTACACCTCATTCTGACTAACAAAATGTATGTCAGTCACCCTGGACTGTAATCTTCACTCTCTTGTTTATATTCCTCATTTTAGCATTAGTCTTATGAAAGGATAATTATTTAATCAATAATAATAATAATAATAATAATAATTGATACTTTATTGATCCCCGTGGGGAAATTATCTTTATGCCTCCCCCAACTCTTTGTAGACTAAGCTGTCCGTGAAGGGCAGCCACCTGTTGTGGTGCCCAGGGAGCTGGGGGTTAAGGGCCTTGCTCAAGGACCTGCAGACGTGCTGAGGCTGGGTTAGAATTGGCTATCTTCTGATTACAGGCACACAGGCTTAGCCCACAGTGCCCCATGCTGCCCCCAATGTCCAGTTTCTTCCATATAAGGCTGATTGACAGGTGATTTCGTTGATATGACAGGTCTAGCTCTGTAATGGTGCCAGGATGGGCCTCGCTCAGCCAATTACAAGCCTGGCACACCCCAAAGCTTGGCAAATGTCAACCAATCACAGATTTGATTATTGTAAAGAAGAAGGAAGTGAGCTTCTTTTTAAGGGTGAACACCCCACAGCCCCTGCAGAGTATCATGTAGCCCTCCCTTCATATTTGACCTGCCACCAGCCCTGTAGTGGCACAGTAATGAGTACCGTGACCTCATATCTCCAGGGCTGTGGGCTTCATTCTTGCCCCTGGCTCAGTGTATATGGAGTTTGTATGTTCTCTGTTATGGTGGGGCATGATGAAGGAGCGATGATCCACGTAGCAGAACTCAACAAAAGGGGTTTATTTAACAAAACAGAACGCAAAGGAAGAACCAGAAAATAAATGGACTGTGAGGGGTCAAAACAAAACAGGCAAAACAGAAACTAAGTCAGGGAGCAACACTGGGAACAGCAATACTAAAGGCAGAGAGGAACACAGAAAAACTGCAGTAACTGACATGGGATAACTATCATGACAACAACTAACAATGACACTGCTAACACTGGGAAGCAGCCACAATGACCCACTGAGGAATAGAACAAAAGCAGGCACTTATATACACAACTAACAAGATATGACACAGGACAGATGAGAACCATAATCAAATTGACCAATCACTAGGACTCAGGGCAACAAGGAACAGGTGGGGTATATTACAATTAACAAGCATTAGAGACTGGGAAACATTAATAAACACTGAGGGCTAACAGCAATATGAAAGACTATGAACACAAGCAAAACAGAACATAATAAAACAAGGCATGGGCAGAGTAAACCGTAAACAGGGAAACAAAGCAAAGACATGGATAAACAATAGCAGACACCAAGGGATAAAAATAAAACCAATATATTAAACAAAAGCCAGCCTCAAACAGAGGGGTGTCTGCCTCTAAGCTGCACCATCAAGCCACAGAGCCACAAGGTGGCTGGAGAAGCAGGGAAAACAGCAAACAGGAAGCCCAGCACAAACTGCTGGCCAAACGGGGAAAAGGCACTTGGGACAGGGTCACACGGGCACCAACTCGACCGCTAACTTAACATCGATTTCCTCTAGGTCCATAAAACAGTTAAGTAAACTGGTATCTCTAAATAGTGTGTGTACTGCCATGGGCTGTCATCCATGCCAGTGTCCCCTGCCTTGTGCCCTGTGCTTCCTGAGACGAACTCCAGGTTTAATGGAACCTCTTGAGAGGTCTGCTGTAGCACAGTAACAAGTTTATTTCAGATGCAATTTTTTCGTGAGGATGCAAGTGAATGAAGTCTTTGCATATTATCTCCAGAACTAGAGCTTGGGTCAGCCAGAAACCAGAAGCCTTTACCTTTTTGTTGAATACTTATCTAAGTGGGTTAAAGTTCGATCCTAATCACTACTGACAGTAAAGATTGTATTATAGTTATTTATTAATAGACTGCGGAGTTGAATTGAAACACACGGAACCACGTAGCCCTAAGAAATCAATTATCTAATTTTTTTAGTTTGTTCATTATTATGGAAAACAATACACATCGGAATATTTGATTTCTACTTCCACTGCTGATATCTGGCATTTCAAATAATAACTGTAACAATGTAAAAACTGATAAAGGATTTCTTTCTATGTTTTGGCAATTTTTAGGCACAACAATAGTATTACGACGTAAGTTTTCAGCCTCCCAGTTCTGGGATGATTGCAGAAAATACAACGTGACAGTAATCCAATACATCGGAGAGATATTGCGCTATCTCTGCAACACACCAAAGGTACGTCTGTTTAACATTTAATGCGTAATGCCTGGAAGCCGGTGAACAATTTTACGAATCAAAACAATGTTTGCACCATACACTGCATATACCACCTATTTTAAACTCTATAAATAACAAAGAAATGTCCATTTACAGCCATATGGAAGTATGCATACTGGAAATCAAATTATGATTTATTAGCTACTGTATTAACTAGTTAAGAGGGGGAAATATCTCTGTCCAGTTAGAAATTTGATAGAGGATAGCGAACTGAATGTGTCAGGTGTTTTTCTCGGAACTTCTGACAGCTGCTTTCCTTGACGGCCTCAGGCCCGCTGCGCTGTCTTGTCCCCGCTTAGCCCGGGGATGTTTCAGCTGCGCAGGGGGGCGTCCCCCGCTTACGAGGCAGCTGTCCGGCGCCTTTTCTCCGAGCATCTGCTCACTTTCGCGTCCACCAAATTTGGTTGTTCGCGGATACCTGCCGCTCCTCCACAAAGCTGTCATTCTTTAGGACTGGTGTCCACCAAAACGGTCCTAATGTTGAACTACAGACCCTGGAATTTAATGCGTCGTTGTTTTCGTGTTTCGTACTAAATCTTTTTTCCTTTAGCACATTCAAATTTTTATGCAGAGAAAAAATAGATTTATTACGTTTTACCATGACTGTCGAATTCTACTTGGCGCAACTTTTAAAGAGAGATTATATTATAAAGAGTGGCATTTTTAGGGGAAGGAGGGGTAACTTTTTTCACTATCCGATTTATTGTGTATTTCAACGTTCCCCTAGATTTTATGAGTGTCACGTGGCCATGCAGGGAAGGGTAAGGGGCAACTTAAACACTCTCACTTTGGCCATTGAAATAGTATCTGCACATATCACAGGGGATCAGGTCACAGCTGGTCACGCGTGTCGTTCCCCAGCCAAAGAAAGTAGCTTTTAGCACCGTAGATGTGTGCCCCTCTCAGAATAGCCAGTGGCCTTTACATGGAAACACTACGCACAGGGAGGGGGAAACCCAAACGTGCGGCAGCGCATGACGGATCGCAAGGTTTCCCAAACGCCCTGGTTCCAAAAGATGTTATTGTACACCAGCTTTTTTTGTTAAATTCATTATAATATTGCAAAAATGGTGGCACATAATCTTTGTAGCTTTTTTCTGTAGTTACTGAATGTGATGTTTTCCCCACACGCAGAGAGACAATGACAGAGACCATAAAGTGAGATTAGCCATTGGAAATGGCGTCAGAGCCAATGTGTGGAAGGAGTTCCTCGACAGGTTTGGTAACATTACGGTCAGAGAATTCTATGCCGCCACAGAAGGGAATATTGGGTTTGTGAACTACACAGGCAAGATTGGTGCCGCCGGAAGGATCAACTTTCTGCACAAAGTAAGACTCAGAACTTCAAATATGAATATAAGTAGAAATCAAGATAATAAACGTAATTGAGACTTTCCACAAAATATTTCTATGATAGACACACACATACAATACTTAATACAATGAACATAAAATGCCATTCACTTCCATAGCACTCATTTAATCTGGCTTCTTGTGTGTGCTTTAGAAACTATACTCCTATACACTGATTAAGTATGACACAGAGAAAGACGAGCCAGTCAGAGACTCCAGGGGTCTGTGTGTTGAAGTCCCAGTAGGTGAGTTATTTTTAACTGTAAACATACACTCATGGTTGTATATGTATTTCTCAACGTTTTTTTTTTTGGAGTTTTAAAAATGTTTACATAATATGTATGTTGTTTTTCTTTAAAGGAGAAACTGGACTTTTAGTGTCCAGGATTACTAGATTTGCCCCTTTCTCTGGATATGCGAGGAATGCCCAGCAGACAGAGAAAAAGGTGCTTCGCGATGTCTTTCAAAAGGGAGACGCCTACTTCAACACCGGAGACCTGCTGAGGTCTGACCATGACAACTTTATCTACTTCCAGGACCGTGTTGGAGATACGTATAGGTACTTCCTGATTTCACAACGACAGAACTACACTTCAGTATTTTTGCACATTACTTCTGTGGGTAGTTGACACTATCAAATTAAGTAAATCACAATTTTATTAGGACAATTAATGGGGGAAAAACTGCAACACAGTGTCTGCCCACTGTCATTATTCGTCCTAAATAGCTGTAATCTGTATAAATTCACAGATGGAAAGGGGAGAATGTAGCCACAACAGAAGTTTCTGATGTTCTCACAATGTTGGACTTCATTGAAGAAGCAAACGTTTATGGAGTTGAAGTCAAAGGTAAAATAATGTTCTGTTCCTAAGACACAGACACAGCATTTTCTCATAATTATTATAACAATTTGAAACTGTTGTTAGATGATCTAGTCCTCAGGGACCAACAGACAGTCCGAAGTTCTAGCTCATCTGGAACTGGAAGGGAGCAAAAATGTGGACTGTCTGGCAGGGAGCTTGGAGGGAGTAAAAACGTGGACCGCTGTGCGCCCCCGAGGACTGGATTGGGAATCACTGACCTAGTCAATTGTCTTGCTATCTATAAAGGTCACGAGGGAAGGGTTGGCATGGCTGCTGTTACACTGAAAAAAGAAGAGCAATTTGATGGTGGTACAATGTTCAACCACGTTGCTTCCTACCTACCAGCTTACGCCAGGCCTCGCTTTATCAGAATTCAGGTAAATGTTTACATATAGCCTTGTTTAAGAGCACTGGAAAATGCTGCTCCTGTACTACATATGCAATTGGAAGAATGGATGTAAAATCTAGTTGCTTGCATAAAAATTGTAACGTAGCAAATATACTTTTAGTACATGACAAGGAGTCCGCCTAGTGGACAACACTTGTCATTGCATGTGAGAATTGTAATTTTGCAAATTAAAAGAGGCCAATAGTTGTCTCTAACATGGACCGTTTTTAACTTCAGAGCTCCTTAGAGCTGACCGGAACATTCAAGCAGATGAAACTGAAGCTGGTGCAAGAGGGCTTCGGTCCAGCTGTGGTCCCAGATCCTTTATTTATTCTGAATGAGAGCCAGAAGACATACATACCAATGACAGAGGAGATTAATAAGATGATCCTGTCAGGGAGCATGAAGCTTTGAAGCTGTACAGTAATATAATGTAGCACTGTCTATGAACGGGTATTGCGTCCAAAGTGGGACAGAATATGATAGAGGGTTTTAAATGTAATTACTTTTTAAATCATGTTTACATCACTATAATCCTGACTAGAACTGCAACTCAGGGATGTAAACTCTTAAAGTAACCTTGGAAAATCAAACAAGCCCAGTAACCACAACAATAATAGGTATGAAACAGACAACAGAAAAAAATATTAGATATATGCCTTATATTTCTGGGACCCGGGCTCGAGATTCTGCCATGGCTCCATACGTTGCTATGTTCTTCTTGTGTCATCATGGTGTTTCCTCTGATTACTCTGGATTTCCCCCACAGTCCAAAAATACACTGAGGTTAATAGGAGTTACCAAATTGCCCATATGTGTGTGTGAGTAAATGGTGTGTGAGAGTGCCCTGCGATGGGTTGGTGCCCCATCCTGGGTTGTTCCCTGTCTTGTGCCCTGCGATGGGTTGGTGCCCCATCCTGGGTTGTTCCCTGCCTTGTGCCCGTAGCCTCTGGGATAGACTCTGGACCCCCTGTGACCCTGAATATGATAAGCGATTGCAGAAAATGGATGGATGGATAACGTAGACTGTTTAATTGCTTTCAGGAAAGAGCTGAAATGTTTACTTAAACTATAATTGTACAAAGGGACCCGATAACTGTATCCAAGTATATAATTTGCTTTATATAATGAATTGTAATTTTTTTGTAATTACAGAAACATTTTGAAACAAGTTTAAGTGCTTTGAGACAATTTAATATTATGAAAATGTTTTACATAAATAAATTTGAATTGAATTGTTCAGATGCATTCTGCATTCCATGGGATTTACCGACAGCAAGAGAGCATGGATGGCACAAAATGGTAATTTCGAGTAGGCATATAACAGGGGAAAAGTGCACCTCTTTCTTATCGTGTGTACTTTGTGGTACAAGCTAAAACACAAATAACTATGGGTCATTGTGGTCATCTTGCTTTTCCCATCCTGGGGATGTGCTGGGAGGGGGTACCTGAGTACTGCCCCCTTTTGTCTGAACAGTTGAAAGTACCCCCCTTTTAGGGCTCCTTTTTGATCTCCGACAATACTGCAAGTTTACCGAGGAGGACCCCCCCCCCCCCCCCGGGCAAACACCTGCCTTTCAACACTCTCTGTGTGGCCCTGCAAACCTGTATTGGGTGTCGAGCATTGTTCTTACTTTTGAGCAACGATTAAAATGCTTCTTTTGTCCAGCTATCAAATAAACAAGCTCAACTCAAAGAAACAGCTCAACTCACCCTAGAGGACTGATCCAATCAGTGCAATCAACTGTAGTTTCTCTTTGGATGGATGTTTCCATCCATGTTTCCATATTTCAACAACTATCAATCACAAAACATGGGAGAATATTATGAAATGAAAATACAGCAAATAGTCTCCAAAGATAGAGACTATTTTAATTGGTCATCAAAGTAACTTCATTTAAAGATTTTTGATAAATTAAGAAGGAAAAATCAGTAGTGGATACACTTGTCAAAGAATGACACTAGAGGAGGTGAGACCAAAACATCTGATTGGTTAGGCCCGCCCCTCTTGTTGTTTGAATCCACCTCCTCCAAAATCTTATTGGTTATGTCTCTGAATCAATCATTTTGCCTTCTGCCTTCAGAACATTTTTTGTAAGTAAAACTCCTAAGATCATTATCCCTCCTCCACCAAGTTGGCACAATGCAGGCAGGCAGGTAACGTTCTCCTGGCATCCACCAAACTCAGACTCGTCCATGAGACTGCTAGACAGAGAAGCGTGATTCGTCACTTCACCTAACACATCTCCAGTACTCCAGAGTCCAGTGGCAGCATGCTTTACACCACTCCATCTGACACTGAGAGGCTTTTATGCAGCTGCTCGGCCACGGAAGCCCATTCCATGAAGTCCGCGGGACACAGATTTCATGCCGGGGTTAATGCCAGAGGGAGTTTGGAACTCTGCAGCTATTGAGTCAACAAAGCATTGGCGACTTTTACACACCATGTGGCTCAACACTCAGCGATCCCGCTCTTTTGCTTTATGTAGTCTGTCACTTTGTGGCTGAGCTTCTGCTGTTCCACTTTGCAATAATACCACCTAGAGTTGCTTGTGGAATATCTAGCAGGGAAGAAATTTCACAAACTGACTTATTGCAAAGGTGACATCCTATGACAGCACCATGCTTGATTTCACTGAGCTCTTCAGAATGACCCATTCTTTCACAAATGTTTGTAAACCTGACTGCATGGCTCGGTGCTTGATTTTATACACCGGTTGCCATGGGTCTGAATGAAACACCTGAATTCAATGATTAAGAGTCCCAATCCTTTTGTCTATACAGTGTATTCTGATCAGATTAGCAGCCTATTTCTTTATTGGCTGAGTCATCCAGGACATGTGACCAGATCACTGAATTAGCCCCTCCTTTTCAATGCCAGCTCCTCCAGTTATTGATGGGTCATGTGACCACACCCTGTAAACAGCTACTGCCTGGTCCTGGACTATGATGGATAGAGGCTACACGCACCTTTTGGGTGTGGATGGTAACAGCTGGCTCTGATTGACAGCTGAAAATGACTAAATGATTTAGGACGCGCGTTCTTAAAAGCTTCAGGGTTTACGAGTCATTTGATGTCCCTTATGCTCTTATGGTGTGTGTATTGTTTGACCCTGTGTATAACTACTGATATAACGCGTGAATTTGCCTTCGTGGGATTAATAAAGTTCACCGTATCTTTTAACACGAGGATAACTGTAAATGAACGCCGAAGAACAACACAATGTAGAAAACCTGGTTCCAGTAACTTATTTATAAATATTTACCTTATGGATATAGTTTCAAAATGTTCCCAAAAAGGAGAACTTTATGGTAGGTTCCATTATTCAAATACTATTACAGGCAACCAGCGAAACTCTACCCACACAGCAGCTCATCACTGCCAAATATACGAGAGCGCAGACGCATAGATAAACCGAGCAAAACAGACACTACGAGCGCGCACTGCGCCTTTGGAACGCAGATAAGAGCGCTCGCTTCTCGCAGCCTCGCGCTTGATTCACCGTTTCTCGCGCGCTTCTTAATTTTCTGCTCGTTTCTGAAATCCGTGCGCGCTTCGCAATTTTCTGCTCGTTTTGTAATTAAAACAGGAAATTACGTCAGAGATTCAAGGCGTGGTAGCTGATTTCTGAGACTGTCCATTGAAAGCGCACAAAAGGGTATGGCTGCAAAATGATTTTTTTCAGTGTTAAGGCAACTACTAGCCAGTTAGCATACGTTGTCTTACAGTAAACACATTTCTAGTTTTACAGAGCCTTTCATGGAGTTATCTTATGAGTGTCTTAGTTTCTAGTATATAGTTTTTAGTTGTTCTTGTGGTCTTGAGGAGAACGTTTCTCGGTCTTCTTATGGCAAGGCAAGACAAGTTTATTATAGGCCTAATAATACACAGCGGTTATTTAATGTGCTTTATAAAAACAAGATTTTAAAAAGTTAAACCAAGACAAAAAAAGCAAAATGGAAATAAAAAAAGCTTTTAAAAATTGCTTAGAACCTAAAAAATCTGATTAAAAGTGCAGTATGTCATGCCCCGCTCATCCGCTCCTCCCGTGTGCCACGCCCACTCGTTAAACTCCTATGGAATCCCCGTGTTTATCAGCTGTTTCCAGTTTTCATTAGTCCAATGTATGTAAGACCGCGCCAAAGTATGTTCCCCTAGTCCTGTCATTGACGTCCGTCTTGCGTTTCTTCGATGTTCCTGTTTTGTCTCCCTTCTAATAAACCCTCGTTCACCCGATCTCAGGGCGTCTGTGCTGCTTCTCCGCCGAAAGAATTTTAGTAAATGTACAGCTAAAAATCAGGCACAGTTAGAGGTTTTATTTTATATCACAATGTTTTATTGGTTTGTTTTATTTAGTTTTTTTAGGCTATCTCATCTGAAAAAAATTAACATTTGATTCCTGATGTCGTGTCCAGTGTTCTTTTTTTCCCCCATCCAGCATTTATTAACAATCACAGTTTTGATATGATTTTAACACAGAATTGTGCTATTTTTAAATCCATTTTACTCTTTATTCACACATACACACACATAAATACTATATATATATATATATATATATATATATAATTACCATGTAAATAATTTTTTATATATACTTTAAGCCTTAAAATACCACTCCCACGTGCTTTAAACACATGTAAACATATTAAAACACACTCAATATATAAATATATATATATAATTACCATGTAAATAATTTTTTATATATACTTTAAGCCTTAAAATACCACTCCCACGTGCTTTAAACACATGTAAACATATTAAAACACACTCAATATATAAATATATATATATAATTACCATGTAAATAATTTTTTATACATACTTTAAGCCTTAAAATACCACTCCCACGTGCTTTAAACACATGTAAACATAT